CCCTCCCTGGCCCCAGGCAGGCAGGGGTGGGGGAGGCAGGGAGGAAGCAACTTACCCTTCCTCTTCTCCTGCCTCCTCCTGGCTGAATGAAGGCCAGAAGCAGGGGCGGGGCTTTGTCATGTGCCCCGCCCCCAGTACCTCACCCGGGGGGACTGCGATCCCCCGTGTTCCCCCCCAAAATGACCTCTGGATCCTACCACGTAATTTCTGTATTGTTTAATGTGCCGTGCTAAATTATTATACTTTGTTCCAGCTCCGCTTTCAGATTTTTGGCTTGTTTTAGGATGTCTGCAATCCAAACCTTATCGTTTTGTTGACTGGATGTCCCATTCTGTTGACTGTATTTGACCTACACTGTGCAATCCGCTGCGATCCTCGGTTAGAAAGGCGGACTATAAATACTTTTCATTCATTTTGCACCCTTGTTGTTTAATTTAAATGTGAAAAACAATTTAAAATGTTCTTTAAAAATAATGTAAATAAATACAATAATGTAAATAACGTAAATGGACAATTTCTTAACAGCAGATCTACCAGAATTACTAGTGCACTACTTACTTTCTTTTACAATGAGCAAACATTTGTATGATTTGAAAGCCTATATATTAGCCCCATGTCAATTATGAAATCTGTAGGATACAGTGAAATATTCCAATAATAATGTATTTCTAGCTTTAAATTACCAGAAACAAAGTACTGTAAAGCTGACTCCTTTTGTCATCAATCCATTATAAAGTTAGGTGTGTTTAAACCCTGTGAATTTCAACAGGATTTAAGTGCAAGTAATCAGGCACTGAACTGTGGCCACAAATGGATACACTTAGATTTGAGCTGGAAAACAACGGCTCGGGGACGGGAGGCAGATGTTGCTGTGTGATCGGGCATATAAAATCCGCAATTGAACAGTCATGACAGCTGATTAAACACCATGTCTGAACTCATACACTCATAGAGTTGGAAGGGGTCCTACCGGCCATCTAGTCCAACCCCCTGCTCAATGCAGGATCAGCCTAGAGCATCCCTGACAAGTGTTAGTCCAGCCGCTGCTTAATAGAATCTTCAAATCACATTATCTAATATAGGTATGATTGTATTGTCTGTTATCTAATAAAATGATATACAAAATTTTCAGTGCAATCCTAGTGCAATGCTTCTAAACCCACTGACTTCCACGGACTTAGAAGAAGAGTGTTGTAACTCTGTTTAGGATTGCATAGTTAAGAGTCCTATTCTGATGGATTTAGGAAAATAGTAGGAATTACCAACCTGAGTTAAGGATTTTTTCCAGGCACAGTTTATCCCTCCAATTGAAACCATATTAGGCATTAATGGTTTGGGATAATCAAATGCAGAGTCTGCTCTCATCAGCCAAACTGATCCATGACTCAAAAGTTCTTTGATAGTCGTGTCTTTTTGAAGAAACTCTGCAGCCAGATTTGAATAAGGGGAGTAAAGAAAACGACAAAGGAAGGATTCTGACAGGCGCAACAGGAGGTTCTTCACACGTTCTGCAAACGTCATATGATCTGTATATGTTGTAAATACTCTTGGAACGTAAGAAGGAGGGCTGGGACACTGAAGAGCTTCAGAGTCTAAACCACAGGGAATCCCTCGCAAGAAAAATATCGAAGGGATGCCAAGATACTCAGCCACTATCTGGCCACAGGGCATCATCGGATCTGTGAAAAGAGCATCAAACTTGCTCTGCTCAAAGTACTTCATCAGTTCTTGATTGTACAATAAGGACGTGCAAGTGGAATATAACAAAGCAGTCGTAGTTTTCACCCTGTTATAGGTTCTAACAAACCTAACTAGAAAAGGGATCTCTTCAAATACACCATTCATAGCATCTCGATATGTTTCCTCCAGCTCTTCTTGTGTGAAAGGCACTGGATACGTTTTCATTGTATAAAGATCATCAGATGGTTTTATGTGCATGTTTGTTTCGGGCGCAACGACGACTGCTTCGTGGCCATTCTGCTTGAGTTGTTTCAGGACAGACTGCATACTCAGCCAGTGGCTTCCATCCATGGGTACCACCAGGAGCTTCCCACCGGAGGTAAAATTCAAAGATGACATGAAAAGCAACAGCGCCGCAACATGCTCCTTTTGGAAGTGAAACATGGGAAACATGATCTCTCTCGTCTGTCGCTCTGCAAGAATTAAGCATCTGCTACCATCTGTGAGCTTCACTGCACCTTCTTATCTCATAGGTCGTCGTATGCTAGTTGAACATTAACTTCTGAGAAAAGCTGTAGATGGGAGGGGGGCACGACGACACATGCTTTGCATACAGAACTTTCCAGTGACAGTCCTCCAAAGATTGCAAATAAGTTGTGATAATTATTTCAGCTGGGTTGAGAAAACAGATATCCTACAAGCCAGAGACACTGCTGCTAAATGATTGATCTGATTTCCCCAGTGACTTGTTAATGGCCTGCCTTACAGATGATTACTGTGGCCAGGTTGGTCTTTGCAAGGTAATGGAAACAAAATTATTACTCCTAAAGTACAAGACTGGTTGTTGAAATTAAGGCGCTCTATACCCTTGTGAAACCAATGGCATACCAGAAAAGTAGAGGAACACATTGGAATTAGACATGCTATGGTGAGGGGCTATACAGAGGACAGAACTGGCAATAGGACAGACTGAATTAACACCATAATTGCCCTATGCTGAGAAAGGATATCCAGGTCCATGGTTGTGAAGGGGGAAAGGGATGGTTATGCACTTTGTGTATCTTTGTGTTTCATATTTCCATCTAGGGGGTGGTGACTGTGGCCACAAATGGATACACTTAGATTGGAGCTGGAAATCAACGGCTCGGGGACAGGAGGCAGATGTTGCTGTGTGATCGGGCATATAAAATCTGCAATTGAACAGTCACGACAGCTGATTAAACACCATATCTGAACTCATAGACTCATAGACTCAGAGTTGGAAGGGGCCCTACCGGCCATCTAGTCCAACCCCCTGCTCAATGCCTAGAGCATCCCTGACAAGTGTTAGTCCAGCCGCTGCTTAATAGAATCTTCAAATCACATTATCTAATATAGGTATGACTGTATTATCTGTTATCTAATAAAATGATATACAAATTTTTCAGTGCAATCCTAGTGCAGTGCTTCTAAACCCATTGACTTCCATGGACTTAGAAGAAGAGTGTTGTAACTCTGTTTAGAATTGCATAGTTAAGAGTCCTATTCTGATAGATTTAGGAAAATAGTAGGAATTACCAACCTGAGTTAAGGATTTTTTCCCGGCACAGTTTATCCCTCCAATCGAAACCATATTAGGCATTAATGGTTTGGGATAATCAAATGCAAAGTCTGCTCTCATCAGCCAAACTGATCCGTGACTCAAAAGTTCTGTGACAGTCATGTCTTTTTGAAGAAACTCTGCAGCCAGATTTGAATAAGGGGAGTAAAGAAAACCACAAAGGAAGGATTCTGACAGGCGGAACAGGAGGTTCTTCACACGTTCGGCAAACGTCATATGGTCTGTATATGTTGTAAATATTCTTGGAACGTAAGAAGGAGGGCTGGGACACTGAAGAGCTTCAGAGTCTAAACCACAGGGAATCCCTCGCAAGAAAAATATCGAAGGGATGCCAAGATACTCAGCCACTATCTGGCCACAGGGCATCATCGGATCTGTGAAAAGAGCGTCAAACTTGCTCTGCTCAAAGTATTTCATCAGTTCTTGATTGTACAATAAGGACGTGCAAGCGGAATATAACAAAGCAGTCGTAGTTTTCACCCTGTTATAGGTTCTAACAAACCTAACTAGAAAAGGGATCTCTTCAAATATGCCGTTTATACCATCTCGATATTTTTCCTCCAGCTCTTCTTGTGTGAAAGGCACTGGATACGTTTTCATAGTATAAAGATCATCTGATGGTTTTATGTGTATGTTTGTTTCGGGCGCAACGACGACTGCTTCGTGGCCATTCTGCTTGAGTTGTTTCAGGACAGACTGCATACTCAGCCAGTGGCTTCCATCCATGGGTACCACCAGGAGCTTCCCACCGGAGGTAAAATTCAAAGATGACATGAAAAGCAACAGCGCCACAACATGCTCCTTTTGGAAGTGAAACATGGGAAACATCTCTCTCGTCTGTTGCTCTGCAAGAATTAAGCATCTGCTACCATCTGTGAGCTTCACTGCACCTTCTTATCTCATAGGTCGTCGTATGCTAGTTGAACATTAACTTCTGAGAAAAGCTGTAGATGGGGGGGGGGGACGACACATGCTTAGCATACATAACTTTCCAGTGACAGTCCCAGGTATCTCCGGGTAAAGGATTTCAGGCTTTAACCTGAGGTTTATTGGGGTAGATTAATCAATGATTTGATCTAGAAAAACGCAGCTTTATTTATTTATTTATTTGTTAGATTTTTATCCCGCAACTGAGTACAATTTAAGATCCAAACTGGATTTACTGTATAACTGAAATAGGCACAACAATGGCTATATCCTTTGACAACATATATATATATATATATACACACACACAACATAATGGCTATATCACTCAGACACACAAGACCCATTCCAAATCTCCTCCATCTTACTTCCTGTTTCCTTTCCTTGCTGACTACATCTCCCAGCATACAGTGCTTCTAATGTTACTTACAGCCATAGAAATCACACACACAAACACACACATGAGTTAACCCCCTAAATGATATAAGCAGTGCCTGTGGCTTTAAGAAATGAATGCTCTCTGAAAGCTCAATGGCCATTTGGGTTGCTAGGTAACCACAACTACATTACCACCAGCCTACAAGCCTTTGTTTCTGTCAGTAAAAGGCTGAAAGTACGCCAATTCATATAGAACAATCCTTTGTAAGGGTACGTTTGGCCATAGGTGAAGAAAATAAATATGAAGAAATTCTACAGTGATGATAACACTGTTATAAATACAATCCCTGCTCCATGGGACCAAGTAAAAAATAAATTGGCACCTATAATTTCTCCTGTAGCATCCATTGTAAATGAAATGATGGATGAGCTGAACCCGGAATTATCCCCCTTGAGAGGTGGAAGATTTCCTGACTCAGTGAATATAGAAGTCTGAGAATTAACAACCAAGTAGTCCTATATAATAGTATGAAAGACAGCCTCCAAAGATTGCAAAAAAGTTGTGAAAATTATTTCAGCTGGGTTGAGAAAACAGATATCCTACAAACCAGAGACACTGCTGCTAAATGATCAATCTGATTTCCCGGGAGGGGAGGCCGGGCCCTTTCCAGGGCTGGTTTGGCCACCCAGTGTACTCCCGCTCCCATCCCCCTTGTCCCGGAGGAAGGACTCACTGGGACAAGGCCCAACAGGCAACTTGCTACCAAGCAATCAGCATAACTTACACAGGTCTGGACAGGTTAATAGCATGCAGCTCACCGGGGTCCAGTGGGAGTCAGTACACAACTTGGCTGGGCCTGACACCGCAAAACTCCCCTGAGCAACTTGCTACTGCATGACTTTGGCAACCTGGCAGAACTTTTCCCAAAGAGGGGCTGGCGGGAAGGGGGGAGCTGAAAGCCAGTGTAGTGTAGCCATTAGAGTGCCAGATTAGGTTCTAGGAGACCAAGATTCAAATTCCTACTCTGCCATGGAAGCTTACTGGACAACCTTAGGCCAATTACTTTCTCTCGGCCTAATCTATCTCAGCGGGTCGCTGTGAGGCTAAAATCGAGGACAATGATTTAAACCATTTTGGGTCCCCATTAGGGTTGCCAAATCTGTTTTGGCCGGGAGCGGGGGGCTCCCGGCCAACGTCTGTCTCGTGCGTGCGCGTCACCCGGAAGTGACGCCGCACGCTGGGGGCGGGGCCACGCCATTTGAGGGGAAAACAAAGAGTTTTCCCCTCAAATGGCGTGGCCCCGCCCCCAGCGTGCGGCGTCACTTCTGGGTGACGCACACGCGGGGGTGGGGTTTTCCCCAGGCCCGATTTTCGTCCCGTCGAAAATCGGGCCGTCAAAGTGGGAGATTCCCCCCCCCCCGGCGTCATTTGGGAATCCTAGTCCCCATTGGGGAGAAAAAGTGAAGTAGGAATGAAGTCAATAAATGATATTTAAAGTGGGAGGCTAGGGGCAGATAAAAGGTAGGCTGGCTTTGGATGGGAAGGAGAGAAGGAAGAAGGGAAAGGGGACAGGATACGAGGGCTTCCATGAGGAGGAACGAGTGCGGGGAATGGGATACAGGGGGAAATGAGGTGCTCCCACAAGTCCTTGCAGGTGGCCTCCTTTTCTGTGTGTAAAATTAATCCCCTCTCCTCCCTCTTTTCTGTTGCTTTCATGGCAAGATAAGACACACGTAGTAGAATTCTCCACCCGGGTCCAAAGTCTAGACCTACACACACTGTGACCTTTTGGCATCAGACCTCCCTCTCAATTTCTCGTGCCTGTTTGATAAGACACAAACACACTGACTGACTCAGCCCCCTCTGTCCCTTTTCTAGCTTTCCTTGACTCTACAACTGACTTGGTTCCTCAGATTCCTGCTTCTCCCCTTCGCAATCCTTTCAATCTCCCCTCAGATATAAAAGGACATTAAGCACAGTACATTACAGCTCCTTCGGATGCATAATTGTGAATTTTTCCTCCCTTTTAAAAAAGTAGTGCGTTAATCAGGGGCCCTTAGCAGTGTTCCCTCTAAGCTGAGTTAGTGGGAGCTAGCTCACAGTTTTTTAGCCTCCAGCTCACACATTTTTGTCTCAGCTCAGGAAGGATGGCTCCAGAACAAACCAATTTATGCAGCAGCCAAATCGCTCGCTCACAATTTTAATGCCAGTAGCTCACAAAGTAGAGTTTTTGCTCACAAGACTTCACAGCTCAGAGGGACTATTGGTCCTTAGGGATGCCACTCCCCAGCTGCGCGCGGGGCTTCCCCCGATTTTTAGGGCTCAGACCCAATGCCGGCCAAATGTCTGGTGGTGGGGAAGTCCTGCCCACAACACTCATCTGCAGCCCCGTTTGAAAAGAGGGCACCGCACGCATCTGCCCGCAAGTGGCAAATTCACTGCTCGCAGGGCAGGCGTACGCAGCACCCGCTCTTTCAAAGCAGGTGCTGCTGCCTCCTGCCCTGCAAGAGGCAAGTTTCCCTCTTGCAGGGCAGGAGCACCCAGCACCTGCTCTTTTCAGGTGGGGGCCGCCAGCTCCTACCTTGCAAGAGGAGAGTTCCCTTCTTGCATGGCAGGTATGGTTGGCCACGACCCCTCCTGGAACGCCCCCTAAACCCCCCGTCGGGGAAAAGTTTGGACCTGGCAACCCTAGGGGTCCTCAACATGGTGCCCATGGGTGCTATGACATCTACTAACTCCTTTCCTGATGCATTCCAAAATGTTTTTAGAAAGTGGGTGGGGCCAGGTGGAGCTTCTGAACAACAGGGCTTCTGATTGGATGTGCAAATTTTTAAAAATGTTTTGGCATCAGCTGCCACCACAGCACAAAGATCTTCGCTGCATGACTAAAGGCAAGCTATGTGTATGCAACCCCCCCCTTTATAAACAATATGTTAATTTTAAAAAGCACCCTGTTAAACAGAACATCTGCCTGAAATACTGAAGATTTACAAAGAGAATTATTAGAATGACATTCTGTGGTTGTCCCTGCTAAGGATATGTAAAGATTGTATTGGGGTTATTTTGTTGTTTAATATGTCTTTTTTTTCTTTGTTACAGTAATTAAAATTATTCTTCTTTTTGGCTTCTCTTGTTTTCTTGGCTATTCATTTCCAGTTGTTTAAATGGGAGGCAAATTTAAGTACATAATTTCTTTGATTTCCACCCGAGATGAAATTCGTAAGGATTGTATCCCTCACCTAAAGTGTCTCCTAAACAAATTTCAAAGAGCTAGACAGGGAAAAGAGGACACAGGGATAAATAGGTATCTGTGTGAGTTTTTCTAAGCAAGAAGATAGGAGGATCTATTTTTAACCAAAAGCAGAATATATAAAAGAGGGGAACCAAAACCTCTTTCACTCTGAAATTTTGCCTCAGCATCTCTACAGATTTCAGCATTTTGTCTCTGCACCTAGCAGTTTACAATGAATTAAAAACAAATATAGAAATGAAAGCACTACAAAATTGCTCTGTCACTCACAACACTGAAGACCATCACCAGCAAGCTATAACTTGATTATATTCTTCCAAATGTCTGAAAAGCAACATCTCTTTTCCCAGGTACCTAAAACTCATCACAGTTGGAGCCCAGTAAACACAAATAAGGAGACAATTCTAACAGTGAGGTGACATCAGGAAGAAGGAGCCATCCCTGATAGCCACACGTCACCAATAAAGACATTCCAACAAAGGAATTTACTGCTCAGCAGGGTGTATGAGTGAAAGGGATTCTTTAGGTCCTGGGTCATTTAGGGCTTTACCTGACAAGATATGCAATTGGAATTGTGCTTGGAAACAAACTGGAACCCACTGAAGCTCTTCAAGTATTGGCAGATATGTTTCCGTCTGTCTACAGCAATCTATCAATACCGTTGTAAGAAATAATTGTGAACCAGCTGAATCCAATAGTCTTCGTAAGCAGCTCCATGTGAAGTGCACTGCAGTAATTTAACCCAGATGTTACCAGAGTTACCACAGTAACTGTGGCTGGATCACATTCCCCCCTCTCAAGAAAGACTGCAGCTGGGAAACTAAACACATTTGGACAATGTTACTTTATGTAACCTATGTTTGAGACAGCCCCCCCCCACACATTGTTGAGCCAGTGGGCACCTTTGGAATTGAGGCACAGTGCGGTCAGCATGGCCACAAAATGGTTGCCATAGGAGGCAGAGCTAGTCACAAAATGGCTGCCGTGGCTTACCTTCATTTGTACAGTGAAGATCCTTATGCTGTTCTGGCAACTGCTGCCAAAGGAACATTTTAAACCATCTGCACAGCCAATCAAATCTCCAATAACCAATCAGGAGCCTTGCCGGTCAAAAACTCCACCTGGCCCCACCCACTTTCTAAAAACACTTGGTGGGCACCAGGAAAGATGGCATACATGTGTACCCCGTTGGGGACCTCTGGTTTAAGTGTTCCCCCTGCAGGCCCAGTTCAGCTCCAAGCTGTGGGAAATACAACCCCATCCTAAACGCAA